CGAGGTACGTGCTGGCGCGCACGGGGCGGCGGGGCTGGCCGCTCCCCACGCGCGCCCTCGGGCCCTGACGCAGGGGCTGCGCGGATGCGAGCCTGTGCGCCCCGGGGTCTCCCCGCCGGCCGATCGGTGTGTCCGGCCGCAGTCGGGCTGACCTTGGCCGTGTCTCCCCTCCTTCAGGCCCTTCACGACCCGATGCCCCTTTCCTAAGCGGGGGCCCCCAGCTGCGAGAGTGTTGTGTCTTACGGGAGTTGTCGGTGAAAACACGATAGTCAAAACCAGGGCGCAAAAATCAGCCGCTGCCTTGGTGTTCAGGCCTTTGGCTCGGTCAGTTACCCTGCAGAGACCACTGTCCAGAACTCTCTGATGAGAGAATTGAAGACCTAGGTCATTGATCCCAGGCTCTCTAACCTCCCCGCCCTGCATGACCACTGGCCGGTCTGTGCGTTTTCATTTGCTCTCGTGCACATCCTTTTGTTGGAAGCAGGAGTGGCATCACTCATCACCTCCTAACCACCACGCCTCCGGAAACTTTGATAAATGTCCATAGTTGTAGAGGGGCTTCAGGCCTTTTGTTCATAGGGTTGCTATGAATTGTACTTGATTCAAAGGCAATCAATAACAACAACAATACCCCTTTGTTAAAAACTATACCTGTACAGGGAATAAAATTTCTGACAGGACTAATTCCTTTTGCGAATTGAACCTCATGAAATGTAACGGGAATGTCTTAAAAGCCCCAAAATCTAGGCTGTCGCGATGCTAACTATTTTAGGCAATTCTTTATACTCTCCAGGATGGGCCATCTCCTTAAAAATAATACAGAAGTCTCAAATTTTGTATTACAGTGATGCTTTTAGAGAGATTAAATAATCTTTTTTTTTATTCTTAGCTAGAAGATGGCCAAGGAACGATGCCTTAGAAAGGCTTTTCAGGATAGTCTGGAGGACATAAAGAAACGAATGAAAGAGAAGAGGAACAAGAACTTGACGGAGCTTGGCAAGCGCAAGTCACTTGTAGCACCTCCGAGCCAGATGACCAGTAAGAGGTTTTCACCTTCGCCTTTTGCATCATTTCTTGATTTCTTGTGGTTTTGTTTTTGTTTTTTAATTTGGGCTCTGTCATTAATGCCATTTTTTTAAAAAACAAACAAACTCCTTTTAGGCAACACTTCCACACTGCTGCGAAATTACCAGGACAACAACAGAATGTTAGTGCTGGCTCTAGAGGAAGAGAAGGCCAAAGTGAGAGAAGCCCAGGAGGTCATCCTCCAGCTGAGAAAAGAATGTTACTACCTGGCCTGTCAGCTCTACGCCTTACAACGAAAATTTACCCTACAACACACAGACGAACCTTGTGAGGTACTTTGATTACAGTGACTGATTTCTTAAGGGATGGGTTAGTAAAAAAATAATAATCATTGAGGTCTATGAATCAGTAGTTTAGTTAGATTATATTCTTTAAGTCAGTTCTTAATGATCTGATATGAGTGAATTGATCAAGATAGGTCCATATGCCGAGTTCCAACTGAACCATTGTGCCTGACTAATTAAGAAAGTGTCACACTGAAAGCTGAGTGAAGCCAGGGATTGATTGTCTGCCTTAATTGTAAAAGGAGATAGTGTGACTGCATAGCCAGACAGAACCAACTCATAGCTGACCCTCCAGCAGGTTTTCAGAGGCCATAAATTGTGCGTGAGAAGATTGTCCGTCTTTCTCTTGCAGAGAGCACTGGGTGGTCTGAAGCCTGGTGGACTGGGCAGCCTCTAACCACTCAGCCATCACAGCTCTGTCAAAGGAAGCAGCAAAACAAATGGTAGGGTCCCATTGCTAGTTACTTACAGCTTTCCCGCGCACGTACCACCACGTGGCTGCGGTTCATGGGGTCGTGTTGTTTGCACCTGCTTGGAGGAAGTCGAAATTCGGTGCCAGTAAGTCTCTCAGACCTTGCCTGGTGCTGCTCTTTGCTCTCTCCTTCCTGGTTGTCATAACCATTTATAAAGAAGGCACACGCCATATGGGTCACATTTATTTGTTAAGGAATTGATACAGATTTGGGATAAAAAAGAATTCCCATGCTCATAAGTGGCAGTGGCTTTGACTTAGCTCGATGTAGCTAATTCAATGGAGCTCTGTGCCAGCAGTGTTAGGACAGATCCTGTCTCATAAGGGAGCACCAGAGAAGGCTGCACGGACAGGCAGTGTGGAAGGTCAGGCTCCTTCAAATTTGTGACATCCTCCCATGGAAAGAGATAAGGCGATGGGCAGGGCCGAAGTGCAAGGAGCTGTACAAACTGCTGAGCCTGTGTCTGGTCCCCTGTAACCTGACCATTGGTGGCCACGGAGGCTTTAACGAGCTCCAGGGAACTGAGTGCATAGACCACTCTTAACTCCGGGTGTTGGGATCAGAGAGCGAGGACTCGCTGTGCAAGGAAGTGGTAACACGGTGCGGAGATGTGGGAAGAGACCTGCATCCGCTTGTAGCTGGGAGTTGAGTTCGTGCTGATGTTTGCTGTGTGGTCCGTAAAAAAAGAGAACATGCCGTCTCTCGCCCTTTGTTGTGCCCCTTTGAATGCTGAGTGAGCCCGGCCCTCATCTAACAGTGGTTATTGAATTGGCCTAGACCAAAAGGATTGATGAACGCCATAGACTCGGCTGTTTGTTTAGGTTGCTGTCCACTGGAGGGAGGTCTAGAAGAACTGCCTTTCTTGGATTGCAGGGCAGGACTTCAGACATGGTGTGCTCGGACTCAGTTTTGTTCCTAACAAGTCAGTTCCAACTCCTAGCGACCTGACCCTCTATAGGGTTTCTGAGGCCATACAGCTTCATGGGAAGCTGGGCAATCTCCTCTTGTGTGATTTACTGCCTCTGAGGTCCTGCTGGAGGGTCGGTCAGGTATGATTCGCTTCTGACAACAGATAAAGAAAACTACTTTAACTCCCAAGCAAGAAATATCCTGAACGTTTTGTTGACCATGTTTCCAACCTGATGTTGCTCGGATGGTCCTGCCAGGCAAACTCCAGCACGAGTGTACAGAAAGATGAATTGACTATAATCTTTGTGGATCGTGAATCGTGAGAGAAGCAGTAATGAGCCACTTTCTCCTCCCCTTTTCCCAAAAGCCACTACCAAGGGACGCTGCAGGGGCCAGAGAAAGAAAAAGGCCCCAGTGAGTGTCGTGTGTTGACAGAACAGAATTCCTGCCTCTGTTGGCCGTGCCATTGAAGACAGTCGTCCTGGCACATGGTCCAGAAGGGCAGTCCGTGGGGACTGGGGTAGAGCTTAGAGGTCAGGCAGATTGAAAAAGGGTATAAAACTGCTTCCCAGTTCACCTGAGAGGTCAATGAGAGAGAACTGCTTTTTTGCAACGAAAGTGATCCTGTTTTTTTAGCGTATGATGTATGTGTGCAGAAGTAACATAACACATGTATGTATGTAATGCGTACATACAAAGGTGTATTATTTTGATCCCACCACAGTTTCAGAACATACACTATTTTGAAATTCCGTCCCAGTAAACATAGGGAGCTCCGGTAGCCTGATGTTAAGAAGCTGTACTCCCAGCCCAAGGGCACACTGTTCAAGTCCACCAGCTGCTTTGCCGAAGGATGGACAGTCTTCGTTCATGTGATTACCGCCCTTGAACACCCACAGAAGTGTCCCCTGGGTCAGTCCTGACACATGGTACATAACAATACAAAGATGAACTCTGGCCTTCTCACTTTGATATGAAGGGTAAAATACTAATTTTTCTCCCCCCTCTTCATAATATCTGACATCTCCTAGATTTGGCTTTTTGCCTGTACCTTGTTTGTTGTTGTTGTTGTTAAGTGCCGTCAAGTCGCAAGCGACTCATAGCGACCCTGTGAAGGAGAGTCCTTGACGCTTGGGTTAGTTACCTTGTTTTGTTAACTCTTGTGCCCTCAAGTCAGAACCCACCCATTGCTGATCCACCCGTGGGTTTTCAGAGACTGTCAATCATACAGTAAGTTGTTGCTCAGAGCAGTTGGTAGATTCAAACCACCAGCCTTGGGGTTGGCAGCACAGCTCCTTCCCCCTAAGCCACCAGAGCTCCCTGTTCAGTTAACTGGTGGGTGAAAAAGCATGTGCATTTTTTTTTCTCAGTTTCCAAAGGTTTTGCTACAGTCCCACAAAGGAAATACTATTACTTGGCTGTCATATGTGATAATCATAAAAGCACTGGGGGAGTTGCTGTGATTGCAGGCCCTTCCCCATTAGTCAGTGTTAGCTGATGCATAAACGTCTTCCTAGTTTCATAGACATCAGTATTTTGCATGTATTTGTTGGATGTGTTTTCGTTCTGAGCTTGTGCTGCTGTTTTTACGAGGTCGCGTCAACAGTAATGACGCCTCCTGTGCTTTTTCTGGATGTTCTGCCTGCCAGTACTTGACTCCTGAAAAGAAATAAGAATGTCATTTCTAGGGAACTCTGGTGGCCTATTGGCAAGAAGCTGCTCAGCAATCCCAGAGGTAGTCGGTTCGAATCCACCAGCTGCTCTACTGGAGAAGGAGGGGCAATCTCCTCCTGTACCAGTCAGATCCAGTTTGATGGTACACATACAAAAGATTTAAAAAAAAAAAAAAGAATGTCATTTCTGAGAGCCTTTTTTTGAACCTCTGATTAATTAAAAGTCATTTCTGACAAACTTCTAACTAGTACAGTAAAACCTTTTTATAAGTTAGTTTTAATTTTAGGACTATATAATTAAATGTTCTTTATAGCCTTCAATCGTATGACTAGTTTCAGAACATTACCTATATTGATAGTAAATATTAATGTTTAACAGACTCTTTTTTTTTTCCTTGTTGTGTACTATCGAATTGGATCCGACTAGGACAGGAGACTGCCCCTCCTTCTCCTGCAGAGCATCTGGTAGATTCAAAACACAGCAGACTATTTTCTGATGAGCAGTTTCAAGTCAGTCAACCTGAGATTGGCATATCCTGTCTCCATAAACATTTTTAAAAGAGCTAAATTCGAATCCCTTGTGGGAACTCTTACTCTGAATCCACAGCTTTTTGCGTCAGTTCCTGCACCCTCTAGCTTTTGTCTTCACTGATCACCCTCAGGTCTAGTTCCGACTCTCAGCAACCACCAAGGCTGTCCTGCAGTTTCCAGAGCTGTAAGCTTTATACCAGCAGGCTGCTACATGGCTTTCCCTTGGAATGAATGAGTGATTTGAACCACCAACCTTTTGGTTAGTAGACAGGCACTTGTCCACTGTACCACAAGGGCCCGTCTCCAGAAGACTCTGGCCCTCGCAGATGGCATGCCTTGCTTGACTTACTGTGATGACCTCTGGGGCTCACTAAGAAACCAAAACCTAGGGAGCTCTGGTGGCCTGGGGTCAAGAAGCTGCACTGCAATCCCAGAGGTGCGTGGTTTGAATCCACCAGATGTTCTACTGGAGAAGGAGGGGCAGATCCCACTTAGGTACACACTGTGATGACCTCTTCAGCCTTCCGCCCTTAATCCTTTTTCAGTACATGCGTCACACAATTGCCAAACTGAATTGAGATCCTTTTACTTACCCACTTAAAGTTTAAGTAGTTTCCCATCCAAAACCCAAAGCCGTGGTCTCGAGGTTTTGCTTTGCCTGATCTCCATGTGCATCGGCCGTTCCTTTTTGTGACCGTGACCTTGGCCGGCCTACAGCGGGCGCCCTCTGCCCATCCTGAGTTTCATAGCTGAGTTTCCTCTGCTTTCTCTTCCTGCTTTTTTCAGTGACTGACTCGTTGGTGTTGTTCAGCTCAGTGTCTGGCTATCTCAAGGAACCTTCCAGCATCACTTGACTCTCTAGCACTTCATCCCACGTACTCTTACAGCACTCGCCAATACCTGGAATTTTTGATATTCTTCTTTTGGAGAATGATGTCTGGCCCCGGAGTGTACTCTCCGTAGCTGTTTGTTGTTGAGGGAGGGAGTCCTCTGCCGGGAATACTTCTGTAACACGTGTCCTTGTGTTTTAATACATTAGCAGAACCAGGAGGGGTGTCCCTCTGGAGGGGACTGTGATGGTGACGACGGATCCAGGGTCGCGTCTGTGAAGAATTCACCGTTAGTATCAACATTCTTTACTCATAATCTGTGGGGTAAGGGAATTGCATAATTGTATTACATGTGGGATCTCTATTGAGAATATGTTTAAGAATATTTGATGAAATTCTCTTATAGCTAAAACATTTTTTTTCTGGTCCCTCCAGTGTATTTACTTTCTTGATAGTGTTTGTGCTGATTACTCTGAACTAGCTCATAGCTGGCCCTCCAGGGCTTTTCACAGGCTGTAAATCACATGGGAAGCGATTCTCCATTTTTTTCTCCTGCAGAGCTTCTGGTGCCTTCGAACTGGTTGTCTTTGGGTTGGCAGCTCATCTCCTTACCCACTAGCCCTCCCAAGCTCCATATTTACTTTTTTAATGACTAGGGATAAGAATCTTCCCTAACTTGTTGTTACTGGTCCGTTCACAATGTTTTTCGTGTATTATGTGTTTGATAAAAATTTCACTCACTTCTTAGCATTAAAATAAAGTTCAGGAGGCAAGAATGAGCAAGACAGAGGGAAAAGAGAACCTGGGAGCTCCAGGAGGAAGTGGGGAAGGTGCTGTGATGTTGAGGGAGTTGCAGCTAATGTTGTGAAACAGATGTACTTTGAAAACTCACCCAAACCACAATAAAATGCACCGAAACGCTCCAATTTCTAAGGATGACAGAAGAATTGATACCTTTGGCTTGAGGTACTGGAGAAAAATATTGAATATACCATGGACAGCCAGGAGAACAGAGAGGTCTGACTTGTTGTTGTGTTGTTATGTGCTGTCGAGTCGCCTGTGACTCATAGCGACCCTATGTACAACAGCCCTAAACTCCGCTCTGTCCTGTGCCAATCGCACTGTCATAGAGGATGAAACCAAGTTTCTCCCTGGAGGCTAGGGTTTTGAAACCCTCTGTCATACTTCGGGAGGGACCAGTCCTTGGAGAAAGACATCATGCTCAGAAGTGTGGAGGGACAGCGCAGAAGAGGAAGACCCGGATGAGATGGATTGACACAGTAACTGGGGCAATGGGATTATGCGCATTGCAGTCAGTGAGACTGGCTCAGGACAGGGCAGGATTCAGAGCTGTTGTTGGGTCACTTTGTGAGTTGCAAGCAACTTGACGGCACATAAAAACAGAACCTATTACCTAAGGCAGTATGTATTTAACTTTTGATGTTTGGAGGAGGAAAGACTGAAGACTTAAAGAATGACTTTTGGACATAACATGAAGCTGCCTGTAATGGTGTGGGAGCGTGGAGGAAAACCTCTTGTTTTGGTGAACCACTGTGGTGGCAGATTGAAAGCAAACGAGCAGCTTTGAACACCTTCAGGGTCCCCGACGCGGTAGCACCATGAAGCACGGCCACCCAGTCCCAGCTCTGCTGAGGGTCAGAGCCGCTCTGAACAGCTGGAGCAGTCAGTCAGTATTTGCTAGTTAAGTGGGAAGTCATTTCTAAAGGGTGGTGTCCGTGGTGAGGTCAAAGTCCACGCTCTGCCTTGTTTTCACAAGGAGCTGTCCAGCAAGTTGAATGTCTGTCAAAACGGACTGCCTCTATGTAATTAGACACTTATTGGTTTCTTTTGATACTGATGTGCTGATTTGGAATGGAATTACAGAGATGTACATAAAAATACTCTTTTTTTTTTTTCATCTCTGTTGTTGTGTGCCGTCGAGGTGGAGCTGACTCCTAGCTGGCTCTCCCGCGGGTGTTCAGAGGGGGCGATCGCCCATCCTTCTCCCACGGAGCAGCGGGTGGGTTCCAATCCCGTCCCTGTGGGATTCCATCGCAGCTTCTTACCACTAGGCCCCAGAGCTTCCTTCTTTTAATCTAGAACTTGGGGAACTATTAAATTACTTTTTTATTACCTTACTATTAAGCTTCTTTTTTCCACTGGTCTTTCCTCAGGCAGATTCCTCCTCTGGAAGGTGACTTCCCAGGACTGTTTGAATCATTGCAAACAGAAGGCAATTCAGGTGAGAATCGAAGATGTTAGGAGCACCAGGGCTTTGGGAGTAAATAGCATGGTTTCAGTGACTCTGATTTTTTTTTTTTTTTAAGTTTTTTAATCTGTGTATCTGGCATTCAACTCAAAGCAAGTCGGTTTATTTCCTACAGATAGACGTTTAGAATGCATTCCTTTGTTGTGTGTGCCAGTCAGGCTACAGCTCGCTCGGTCCTACTGTGCGCCTGAGCATCAGTGAGGCATTGTGTGCAGCCCACTTAGGATGTGGGTCGAGTCAGTCGGCATTTACACAGACTCGAAGGAGAAGCGTGGAAACACTGGGATACAGGTTGACATCTGAGCCAGAGGGCCCTGCCCTTCTTGAGCCTTGGCCTTTGATGTGTCTGTGTGTCCATCACACCCCTCCATCTGAACTAGCTTTGGAGCAGGGGTGGTAGATGAATGAGTATAACCAGGTGAACTTGCTTGCTTTTCCTAAAGATATGGGTTATGCTTTCCACCTCAGTGTCTTCCCATTTATTCCCATTGTGCTTAGTTTTAAAAGAACAGCTTAGCTTTCACGTTACATGTCTTGGTATAGGATACGAGGTTCTCTTCTTTGGAATTTTGCTGTCACAGGTACATGCAGACTGCTCGCCTGGAAGTAACCCGTTTGATTTTCTTCATCACGTAGTGTGTATTAGCCCGATGAGATTCTAGGTGTGTCCTTTCTTCATTGTCCACAGAACTTAGCAATGGTGTGTCTGAGTAGGACAGGGGCGATCAGTATTTCACACATGAATTTGTTAGGATTTCATTTGAATCATTTGATTCCTTTAAACCTGAGACATAAAACCCCCAAATTACAATCCATTTCCACACACACAGAGTTGTGGGGTTTATTAGAGAAATAGTTTGGAGTAGTTAGAATATTTTTTTTGAAGTTAGAATACTTTTAAAAGCTTATACAAGATTCTCTCCCAGATGAAATGTTAGTCATATCTTGATCGTTGCCAAATAAATAGATGGTGGAATTAAGTTCCTCACATTTTCCTTAGCTTAAAGTAAATGTAGGGAACGTCCCGATGACTTTTCCATCATTATTTTTAGTACTGAGTTCTAAGATTCCATGAGGTAAAACTCCTGTTGTTCTCTTTTCTTTCTAAACTCTCAGCGCAGGAACCGGCTGTGCCGCACGGAGGGCCGAGGGGTGCTTTCGACACAGGTGTGGATCTCTCTGCGGATATTGCCTTACCCAGAACCGTGTCTTTGCGCCGAGGTTTAAAGGGACAGTTCAGTGGTGTGCATCCGCTTGACGCATCGGGCGACTTTGAAGCCAGTCTTGTAACGGGAGAATCTTTGGACTTGGAAAGAGTGAGAGCTGCAGACTCGCAGACAGATTCACACCTTCCTGGGAGCGTAGCTCAAGCTTTGTGTCGTGGGAACAAGGACCAGTGGGCCCTGCACGCAGAAAAAACCAACCCAGGAGCGCGTCCTCACACACAGTCTGTCACTGTGGATTCTCAGTCTGAACAGACTGAAACAGAGAACAGAAACGGGCAGAGAAGAAGAAGAGAGGAGAACAGAAAAGCGAAGCGACGGAGAAAAGCAGAGACGTCCACGAGACACAAAGGGAGCAGAAGCGAAAAGAAGAAAACTGTTTCCACAAAAGTCTTGGATGACTGTGTCTCCTCTGGTGACACCTACAACTTTACCCTGGAGGAAGGCGTTCATGTCACGCCTTTCCGGAAGAACACGGCGAGCAGCGACTCTCCGGGCAGAGAAAGCGGCAGGGAGCCTTCCGAGAGCACCTGCAACTCGGAGGACGATTCCGATGACTCCTACCTGCCTTCCAGAAAGGTCTGCAAGAACATTCAGAATCTTGATGCCAAGTCAGACAGGAGCCCCGTCACCAGGCCCCGCGCTAAAAGAGCGCTGGAAGCTGCGGATGACAGAGGAGTGGCGGAGCCCCCGCCGGCCACGCCCCCTGCCAGTAAGTGACCAACGTGTTTGTAAAGTTTATGATACGTGGTAGCTCCCGATCCTGGGGGACCGCACTGTACTTGCCATCTGTCCCTCTGGTGGAGCATAGAGACCTACCATCCCTCTCTCTCTGGGGGAAGTTACAGACGGACAGAGCAGTAGGGGTCAGCCACACTATCCTGACCTACTTTACATCCTTTCAGTAACAAATTCTATATGTTTCTAGCGATAGTGCTATTTGTTGCTCAGAGCAACAAATAATAGCGTTTTGTTTTGTTATTATTTATTTAGTGGTGGATTTGGGTTGGGTTTATTGTGTGTCTGTGGCTTTGGTTTTTGGTGTTTGGGTTTTTTTGAGAGCATTTTTACACCTAGTAAATGAGGCCACGCAGGAAGGACAGGAGATTTTCTTTGTTACGAGGTAAATTGAAAATTATTTTTACGGACTCGGCAGAATCATCTCCATGAAAGTGAAGGTTACAAACATTGTTAGAGTTGTCAGACGCCTCCAGTCCAGTGGCCACACTTGACAGTCCAGCTCCCGTGTAGACTCTCCTCGGCCGTAAACTTTACAGCATCAGGTGCCGTCAAGTTGAGTAGGACTCATAGCGACCCTGTGAGCAAATGCCCTGAATCCTGTCCTCGCCTGTGCCGTCCTCATTTCTGACACACTCAGCCCATTGCAGCAGTCACCATGTCAGCACCCCCGGCTCAGGGAGCCTCCTCCTCTTCACCATCCCCCCACCTTCCCAGTCATGATGTCCCTCTCCAAGGAATAGCCTCTCCTACCAATGGGGTGGCTTCAAACCATCAGCCGTTGGATGGCAGCCGAGTACTTCATCATTGCATCACCAAGAATCTATGAGTTACAAACTCTTGGGTTCTGTGTACAGTTAGGGTATGTAACTGAGTGTGCTCTCACTTTCCTGAAACCATGTAGTAGCTCTTACATGATGCCATCAAGTCGCCCGCAGCTCACAGCAACCCGTGAACAGCAGATCCACACCTTCCGTCATTGCTGTGGGTCCTTGGGCAAATGCTACTTCCTGAAATCCTTCTCTGTCGGCCAGTTCTTTTTGATACGATGATGTTGTGTATTCCATTTTCTTTTAATGCTTCCTGCATCGTTCAAGATTTTGCCAGTAGAATCCTTTAGGATTGCAACTCAAGGCTTGAATTTGTTCTTCAGTTCTTTCTGCTTGAGAAGTGTTGAGTGTGTTCTCTACTTGGGCTCTAACCCCCGTGTTCTCCCCCTCGGCTCTGACGGGAGACCCTCTGTGAGAAGGGAGCTCTTCCCATATTTGCATCTGGGGTGCCTTCTAACCTGAGGGGCTCCTCTTCCCGCTGCATTGTGTCCGCAGTGTGCTTCCAGGAGTGGAAGGCCAGTCGTCCACCAGGAATGGAAGGTGGAACAGCAGCGGCATCACTTCCACCCTCACGGCCACACACAGGCCCCCGCGGTGTGCCCATGAGGGTGGCATCTGGAACCACAGGCAATGAGAATTCTTTTTTGTAGGTGCGCCCCTTAAAAGTCAGAAGCCGCCTCCACGTACCCTGGTGGACATCACCAATGTTGCCCTCACTTCTAAAACTAAAACTAGGACACCTTCTCGGTCTCCAAAGAGGAGGAGAGACAGCCCGGCCCCCGCCCTTCCCAAACGGAGGTGCACCATCAGCATCGACTACAGGGAACCCACACTCTCCTCGTAAGTGTGCAGCTTTGGGGAATGCCGTGCTCGTGATGTATAAGACAGACATATCTCAAATATATATGTGTGCGTGCGTGTGTGTGTGTGTACACACAACATTGTTAACAAGTGAGTCTCGTTTGAAATATTTACATTTGACAGAAGAAAATCTGTGAAGAAATGTTGAAATGGGCACATTTTACAATAACATAATATTGCAGAGAGGGTTCATGTGGGGATTCCCATAATGAGGCTGACATCTCCTTGTTATTTCCTTTGTAGGAAGCTAAGAAGAGGTGACCGTTTTACCGATTCATGTTTCTTGAATTCTCCGATTTTCAAGCAAAAAAAGGACTCCCGACGAAGTTCTAAGAAAAGAAGTCTTACGAATAAAAAATCATGAATCTTGTATTCAGTGCCAATCACAGGTATCTGCGCTCCCTCCCCCTGGTGCGATAACATTAGGGATTATCCACAGGGCAGTGAACTCTTGTCATGGAAGAAGATACTATTGGAAAGACTTTTGATCAAGAACATTTGTCTAAAACTCTAATAAATTAAGGGATTTTAAATATAAATAACTGGACTTTTGTAAACATCACCCTAGTTTAGATTTCATGTCCTTCCTTAAACATTTCACTTTTGGCATCTATGTTTTCCCTTAAATCGGAAATACCAGAGTGGGTGAGTTTTGAAGACAAGTCGAAGACCTTTGGGAATTCCTTTGATAGCATTTGAATAAAGTCAGTCTTTGGCATTGACAGTGGTTATGCCGGAGTTGTCGGTTGACCCCTTATACCACCGTGCTGGTTAGTTTGTCAGAGAAATTGGGTGTGAAAAATTCTGAGAGCACCTCTGTTTGCGGAGGCTGGGAAGAGGTCCGTGAAGAGCTCTGAGCCTCCAGCCACCAGTGTGCATTCAAGCAAGGTCCCAGCAGAATCCTAGATTGAGCCATGGCCTTCCTGAATAGCTCTGTAGCCAGAAACTTCAGGCTTCCAGTGTACAAATAACCAAGGGCTTTTTGTATTTGTTTTAGGTGAAAGTTTTGATGAACCAGTGAGAGAAAATTAGTTCTGTTTCTTTCTTTAAACATTTAAAGCACTATTTAGTTAATTTAGTCTTAAAGACTATAATAAAATTTTGCATAAGATTATGCTTGGTTTTCTTTGGTTCTTTAAATACCAAAGATAGACTTTCTCTGTAGATGTTTGGCTCCCCTCATCCTTCTTGATCTTTCTACTTTGTCTTCCTCGCTGTTTTCTTACCATGAAATGCCCAGCTTCCCCTGCACACAATCACTCTAACACTTATTTCTTTCAAGCTTTTCATTGTGAAGTTCAAGTCCATGAGCAACACTCGGATTTCACTGGATAATCCTTCCAATCCTGACCTCAAGTTGTCATGATTGCATCTCTGTTTCTGCATTTCATCTCACATCCAGAATATTTTTCACTAACCAAAACTTGTCAACGTCCTGAGTCACTGATTTAAACACAACTGATTCTCCCAGCCGCATTCTCACATGACTGTGGTATTCTTGCTTATTCAAATGCTCTTCCACCTGCGTTTAAAATGCCTTTGTCCCACTGACAGCTTTTCAGGGGTAACTGGCCCCCATCCCTAGTTCATAGTTGTCATCCTGGACGCAACTGTAGGCTGGACGGAGCCGCACGCTCCACATCTGCAGTCGGCAAACCAAAGTCTCGACCAAATCCAGAAGCTACTATTTTTTTATGTGATTTAGAAGCTTGAAAATGTTTATATTTCTAGTTTTAAATGGTTACAAATTAATGAGATAACTTCCAATTACCTTTGATGATCATATGCACGAGTATCTACATAATAAGCTCCCATTTGTTTCTTGACTTGTATATTGAGATAGTTTGAGGCCTTCCCCGGGGGTTTGCTCACTCTTCCTCTTGGCCAACAGCTCCCCTGACAGAGATGAGTCCTTTCTGACGCTTTGTGACTCAGTTTGAACTTCCCTCCACTTTTGTCCAGGAATTCAACTAGTCTTTTAAACTTGATGTTAAATATTTTTGTATATTGTTGTCGATGTATTTCTGGTGTCATATCCATAGTCAGTTAAGCATTGCTTTGTATTTGAATGTATCCCATCAATGTTATCACCCTGTACATAGCTTTTGGTAACGGACTTTTACCTCCACCTTCTTTCTGAGGTTTATGTGTCTCGGCTGATGATGTACATTATTCTCCTGGTTGTAGTATGTGTTTTCATTTGTAAATAAACCAGAATGTATCCACTCCTTTGAAAGGCAGCTTTTTATACTTTTTCACGATATTCCACATTGGTGCTGAGTGACCAGAGGCCTCTCCATGGAGCTGATACCTAAAAAAGTTGCTCAGCTACAGAATATACTGAATTCGTAACTCTACAAGTTGCTCCCCAAAGTGGTTGTACCGATTCTGACACAAAGAGTGTACTGTTCTCTCAATAGCAGCAAAAATCTCAGCCTCCTACACACTGTCCGCCACTTTGTATAACTGGACACTAAGATTAGTCAAATCCATAAGTATGAAATGATTCCTCACTTAATTGTAAATGACATTGTCTCTTATTGATTGGTGAAAATTCAAGGGTTTATGGATTACTTTCGTTCTATGAGTGGAGTATTTGCCCACTTAACGAAAGACATCTGATGACAGATTAGAGAAGGGCTAAGGGTTAGTGGGGCTAGGGGCTGGCTTTAGGCTGGCCTTAGTGTTAAGGTGAGGCATGGAGTTAAGGTTTCTAGTGGATTTAGTGTTCAAGTTTAGGGTTAGAGGTTAGGCTGGAGCTTAATGTAGGATGTCAAGTGCTGATACCAACTCAACAGACCCTCAGGTGGGTTTTCAAAGGCAGTAAATCAACGTAGAAGGAAATTGCCCCTCCTTCCAGGGAACTAGTGAATTTGAACCACTTTTGCAATTGCAGCACAACTTAGCACCAGGCTGCCAGAGCTCCCTAGATTAGTGTCAGAAAACGGAATTGGTGTCTTAATAATATAAATGAAAAGAAGGAAAAAAACAACAATTACCTTCAAGTCAAAACTAACCCGTAACTGACTGGCCAGCAGGTTTTGAGAGGCTGTAAACTGGGAGGACATTGCCCATCTTCCTTCTGCTAGGTTTGAACTGCCTGCATTTGGGTTGGCAGCGCAACATCTTACCCACTAGGCAACCAGAGCTCCCTTTTATATTCTGAGTGGTAAAAGTTCACTATTCTGGATACTATTTCTCGGTGTACATAAGTTATCAAGACCCTTCCAGTCTCTGTCATTTCTTTTATACTTTTTATAATATCTTGTTGTATAAAAGTTTCACTATGAAGAAAAAAATTGTATGTTTCAATATTAGTGTAGGAGACTTATTTTTTGCTTGGGATTTTGCTCTAAAATTTTTACAATTTTGCTTTTCAATTTGTGGTTATGTGCTGTCAAGTCGCCTGCGACTCCTAGGGGCCCTATCTATGTACAACAGCCCTAAATCCTGCTCTATCCTGTGCCAATCTTATTGTCTCTGGCACACCTCCCCCCATTACCTCAGTCACTGAATCATTCCACCTCATTGAAGGTCTTCCTCTTATCACACTGTATTTTGAGGATAAGGGATCTAATTGTATTTTCTTCTTCCATGAAGATACCACCTGTCAAAATATTTTTGATACAAAGTTAATTTGGTAGTATTATATTTAGGATCTTTTTATTTTGTAACTGGGTCTCAGGTAAAATAATAATGGCATTTTTGATATTGAGTTCCACTGTTGTTCGATGTCATAAAGTCTGTAACTTGGAGTAAGCCTTTGAACAGTTCTGCACCCTGCCCTGTGCCAGCAGAAGACAGGAGGTGAAAGAATTCAACTGTTGGACTCATGTGATATGTGTCAATCAGAGGGCTCAAAACAACATTATTGTTTCTTGGTGGGAAGAAATACCTTCACACGCACAAGCACACACAGAGCAAGATGGCATGAATATAATAAAAATGCACAGCCAGAAACTATTTTGGAGGAAGAAATGCAATTGGAACTTCCTGGTTAGGAATTAAAATGAATGCTAGTTCAGTGCCTTAAGAAAGTGAGTGAGAAAAAGAGTAAGCCACAGACAAAACCAAGAAAAACAGGATGCAAAAATAAACCTTAAGAAACACAAATACATGCGAATTTACAAGCCACTTTTTAAAAGCATCACATTGAGATTTAGACTACTAAGCGTAAAGTTTTAGAATTAGGTAACAGTTTGGAAGGATAAGAGCGTGTCTGATCAATCCGTCAGAAGACAGGTTTAGTGAAGTAGAAAACATTTGGAAAGGAGCCTCTCATGAACCAGGAGGATTACTGTGAAGGGGACTATGTCCCACTCAAGTCACGTTACACTCACTGCAACCCTTGTCTGGGCTTCTGGGGCTTTAAAACGAAGCAAACACACTGCCTCTTCTCTCCCTCAAACAATCGCTGGCGGGATCGAATGGTGGACCCTTCAGGGAGCACTCAACCCCTAACCAACAACGACAGCGTGCCATGGAGAAGCCAGAAGCAAAAACGGAAAAGAACAGCTTCAGAGAAGATGTTATCTGCCCAGACTGAAGAGCTGTGACTCCACGTCAGAGACATTTGGGAGAAACAACCTCCTGTCCCTCAATTATTCTTTCCACTCACGTTCTCTTCCCCACGGAGAAAGCCTGTAGTGTGAGGGAGAAGTGTCAAGCCATTTTTAATATTTAAGGTTCCCTCCTTTCACTCTTAACCCAAGCCTCAGCAGTTGACTTGTTTGTCTTCAAACAGTTGCTCTGCGTAGGTTTGAAGGGGACCCCAGGAATGGAATGATGTCAGCGATGATGTCACACAAGGCTTAATGGGCGGCCTCATCCTCATTCAGGTCCCAGCTGGTTCAGAAAGGACCTGCAGAGGGTGAGGCACCAGCTGCTGCGGCTGCGGCAGAGAGGAGAAGCCCGGTGGCCAGGCCAGAGGGCGGCGCACCTGGAGACACACTGGTGCCCCGGACTGAGAGTAGGAGCAGGGCGTGTGGGCTGGAGAACAGGGGTCCATGCTGTCTCCTTGCCCTCTAAGACCCTCCCTTTCTAGACCCTGAGCCTCTCGATCCTGTCTGGAGGCCGCTCCATCCTCACCACCCTCCACCTCAACACACGGGGGGCTTCTTTCTTACCCAGGCCACCTGCTTCCTGAGGCCAGCGGGTGGGGAGGGGAGGGGGAACCTTCTTGTAAAGTGGAATTATGAGTGGTATTTTATGTGTTATTTCATTTTCTATAAACCAGTATTTAATACCTGTGTTTTTTTTTCTCTCTCCCTTGAAACTAGGAAAATTCTACAATTCTCAGCGACCAGTGCTGATGTCTAAAGGGACCATGTGGGAAGGTCTTAGATGTTGTTCTTGTTGACGACC